GGGGGAGGGAGAGGGAGAGAGAGAGAGAGAGAGAGAGAGAGAGAGAGAGAGAGAGAGAGAGAGAGAGAGAGAGAATTTACTTCACAATCTTGTTTTAGTTTTATGCGGCTATGGCATTTACGAGGATCGTCTGAAAAGTTTTGAGCCTCATCATGAAGATGGCATTACTCGTCAAAGCCATTCTGGTATCATAATCGTAATACTTACGAAAGATATCTATGACAATTGTGGCCACTTTGGAAGTTCAGTTCTTGTTTGACAATCATTAGATGATGAGCGTTCGGGACGGCCAACAACTGCGACCACCACCGCTAACATCGAAGAAATTCATCAAATGATAATGGACAACCGTCGAATTAAGATTAGGGAGATAGCAGAGGCTGTTGGCATACCAAAAGAACGTGTTTGTCATATATAGACTAAAGAATTAGGCATGCGTAAGTTAACCGCGCGTTGGGTGCCGCGCTTGCTCACTCTGGATCAAAAACGCATTCGAATGAACATTTCTAAGGCTCTGTTGGAGCGGTTTAAGCAAAACGAGTAGAATTTTTTGCGTCGATTAATAACGGTTGATGAATCTTGGGTCCACCACTTCACTCCTGAAACGAAAGAACAATCAAAACAGTGGATTACGAAGGGTGAACCTGCGCCTAAGGAAGCGAAGACGGTTTTATCGGTGGGAAAGGTGATGGCGATTTTTTTTTGGGAATAGTCATGGAATTGTGTTGATCGACTATCTTGAGAAAGGTAAAACAATAGTAGGAACGTACTACGCATCATTGCTTGACAAGCTGAAGGCAGAAATTGAGAAAAAACGACCGCATTTGAAAAAGAAGAAAATACTGTTCCATCAAGATAACGCACCGTCTCACACTTCGACGGTCGCTATGGCAAAAATTCACGAATTGCGGTTCGAATTAATTGACCATCCACCGTATTCACCAGATCTGGTCCCCAGCGACTTTTTTCTGTTTCTTAGGCTCAAAGTTTGGCTCGGAGGACAGAAATTTTCATCGAACGTTGAGGTCATCGCATCCGTAGACGCCTATATTGCAAAGCAAGACGCTCAATATTATTTGAATGGATTAAAGGGGTGGGGGAGCATCGCTGGAAAAAATGTATCAACTTAAAAGGAGACTATGTAGAAAAATAAAATTGAATTTGACCGAAAAATTACTTGTTTCTATGTTAGGCTCAAAACTCAGACGACCCTCGTATTATATTTACAATACAATCAATATTGTTTTAATTTTAATTTTAATACTAGCTGCTTTGTTAAATTTAAAACATTTTAATTAAAAAAATTGTTGAAAACTATCAGAAGTTATTATAACATTGTAAGTTTAAAGATAATTAATAATAGCAACACATGATTATGTGTAAAATAATTATATACACAGTGAATAATCATAACTGTAGGAGAGAATTTGCCATGAATTTAATTATTTAATTTAATCGCACTTATGTAATACACACAAATTTAATGCTTTAGTATTCAAATTTTCTTAAAGATTTTCTTAAAAAGTTTACCGTGAATTAATTATAAAATCTATTACAAAATTATGAAATTACGAAATTGTGAAATTTTAGACATTCTATTTAATTTAAATAAAGTTTATCGAGTCAATACAGAAAGCATCATTAATTAATCTAGATTCGCTGGTCCCAAGTAATGATTACTAAAGAAAGCAGATTTACTAACTTTAAATAAGTACTGAAACTTTATATAAGTACTTTATGTAAGTACTTTTAACTCGCGCGAACGAAATGTAAAATCTAATTTAATTGTTCGATCTCACAAGAACCTCATGTATTGCCAAAGTTTTTAACTTCTTGTTCGCTATTATTATGAAAAATTTGTACTTGGGCATTTAATAATTACACTTCTATTTTGTTAACGTATACAATAACATGGATTTATTGGATTCGTTAAGCGAAATTTATTTAGCGCGAGAAAGAAATGACAGCTAGAAGAATGCATACAGATTGTTGCACACAGATATTCAACAAACTTGCGACTGTAGTATTACTATCAAAAGTTGTTAATTTCTGCAAATGGATTCTCTGATCTGAACTCTTTTTTCATGGTTCGAAATAATTCTTTAAATAATTCGAACGTAATTACACGGTTATTCGCTTCGTGCATGAATGTGGAGGAGATTCGTGGACTTGTGCCCAATTTCTTCACCTCTAGATAACTTTATCCAAGAGATATCTCCCAGAATACAATGGAGATCAGTGATGCACATTTGGCTCCCCGGCAACACGAAAACCAGCCCCACCACTTGTACCTCCATCAAGCAGACACCTACCGGCATCGAGTCGGCCGTCTTCGCCGCGAGAGCAAACGAGACAGCGACAGACAGCGCTCGTCCTTCTCGCTCTACAAGCGAGTATTAGAGCGAAAAGGACGGCCGCTCTCTCTCGCTGTCTCGCTTCCTCTAGTATCGTAGTCGCTTGTTAAAAGCGACCAAAAACGAAATGTACTTTTTCGGCCGCTCGGCATATTCCTGTACAGGCCCAGATAGCACACGAAGTACAACGGATATCCGTTATTGATCCAGAATGTACATACAACATACTGGACATAATATAAATATACATGAATGTATATATATACAAAGGACATACTATAAACATCGATATTACATCCATATATCGATGTAAATATACATCCATCGGCGGACATTGTATGTATGTCGTATGTACATA